CAAAGCTGCAGTCATGGAGTCAGTGTATAGTCGTTTGACTGCAGTGGATCTACCAATACTACGTTTGTGTTACTTCAACGCATTAATTGCCATAGACGTAAGTGTTTGTTCTATTGACAAACTTACTTTTCTTTCTATTGTTTTCTTACGTGTGTGTGTTTGTGTGTGATTAAGTGTAAACAAATTGATATTTACATGATAACTGTGTTGTTGCAGAAATCTTTCAGTGATTCGATGAAAATACCTATAAACAGTATTACTACTCGCCACTCTCCCCTCAAGAAGAGAGTGATGACATCGTCATTAATAAATTAACAAATAAACACATGCGATTGTGGAAAAAGAATATCGCAATCAATTGATCATTTTTTGAAGCTGAATCAAAAATAAAAAAGAGGAAGCTGTTATCGTCAAACGTAACACGAGCCGCTAGAGATGGTGTACCATTTATTTCCACTAATTCAGACGACGGAGACTAAGCGACGCATCTCATAAAAATTCAAATGTACGATATGAAGAAGCTATCCAAGATTCCAGCTACAGATCATTGGAAACATGCTTCCATGAGAATTAAATATTATGTAAAGACAAATAAGCATAGCATCTACGACAACACAAACGCCCTAGTATACATTATTACACAAAGAATAGCAGAACGTGAAAAAGTTAAAAAATACTTTTTTAACAACGACAGTCGTTAGCTCAAGTCGCACCACGAAAGAATTCGAGATAAGCTTATTGACTCATAAAATTGCTATCAGTTTCACTGCGGAAATGCTTTAGATCGCTAAATGTGCAAATCCTAAATATGGGTTCCTAAATGTGGGTTCGTAACTGTAAAATTTATGTAAGGAAAGACGATAATTCCCCTAAAATTCACATAAAAACTCTTTAGATTTAAATACAATTAAATGACTGTGTTACTTTAAGTTACTATTGTTATTTATCTTAAACGGTGTACTCGTATTGTTCTATAATAGTGTGACTGAATGCTTTTTAAGATAAAATAATATAAAATATTATTCAAATAATATATATAAAATAAAGTATTTGAAAAACATTTTTCAAATACTTTATTTTATATACTATAGACTTATTATTTTATATACACTATACACTTTATTCTTTATACTATATTGTTATTTATACTTAGTATATACTCGTACATACATATTATGCACCTTTTATCGGTCTGTGTGGGTAACTCCTCAGTTATCGGATTCATGCTTACAAAACAACAAAGGAATGGTAATTCCTTTAATATTAGTGATGTTGAAAAGTAATCGGTTAGTTTTGTTTATCGTTCTAAATTCATATATGGTTACTATTTATATACACATAAACATTTTAATAAATACAAATTACGCTTAATATATACATACACATGCAACGATTGCTTGATTAAGAGGATTACCATTAATGTATTATTTAATATTTATCTACAAAACTACATACATAAATTTGTTAAGTTCCGACCTTAGTACTTTATTTTCAAGTACCCACCAAAATTTACATTCTTATTGTGAGTCTAAATTACAGCTTATCATTATAAATAGTAAAGTAACTCGGAACACATATTTTTTGTTTGTTTATGGTTCATTATTCACTTTAATTGTCCTTTGTATTAATAGTCGTTTATAATAATCTAAAAAAAGGGTTTGAGCCTGTACTATCAAAATGTTCGTGGTTTACGGACGAAATGTAATGAGCTATATAACAATATAATCTCAAGACTATGATATAATCTTATTGACCGAAACCTGGTTAAAAGTGATATTTATAATAACGAACTATGTGATCTTAGATATGATGTTTTTCGAAATTATCGTAATTAGTTATTGTCAGGGAAAAAGGTCGGTGGCGGAGTGTTAGTCTGCATATGTCGCGAATTGAGTGCATGTCTATGCGGCCAATGGTCCAGTGCACCTACAACGCATGAGTCGGTGTGCGTGACTTTACCTGCACGTACGCTTGGGTCCTCAGTCGATCTACATTCTACATATAGCTATATGTAGAATGTAGATCGACTATAGCGTACATTCCACCTGACTCGAACGTAATACAGAGTGGATTGAATGATATTAAGCAAAACTTAGCGCATTGCATTGACTATTATCCCCATGGACAATTTTTTACTGGTGGGAGATTTTAACTTACCGTGTTTAAGATGGGACTCCAACAATTGTATTGCAAGCGTAGACGGTTCATCTTTTATGGATAATTTAGCGATATCTTTCGTTGACGATTTAGGGTACTTCGGCCTTAAGCAATAAAATTGTAATTGTAACTCAAAAGGTAACACAAGAACTTCTTTACCTTTCATAAAGGAAGATATATATCATCCTGCATTAAATATTGAAATACCTGATTTAGCGTATAACCCTTTAAAAACGTAAACATCTGCGTTTTAACTTTTTCAAATGTGACTATGAGAAGATGAATAATTATTTTAGAAATATTGATTGGCGCTCAGAATTAAATGCCGCCGACTCAATTAATGAAGCCGTAGATATTTTTTATAGTAAATTACATGAATGTTTCTCCATTTACGTACCCATTAACATTTATTCTAACAACCGACATTATTATCCTGTATGGTATTCTTCTTCAGTAATAAAAATCATTCGCGAGAAATGGCGTGCTCATTGTAAAAATACCGTAACCCAAGAGATTATGATGAATTTTCGCTTTTAAGAGCACGACAACACCGTATTCAACTTAATTGTTTTAACTTTTTTACAAACAATGCTGAACAATATATTAGGTCCAATCCTAAACACTTTTGGAAATACGTCAGTTCGAAAAAAGGCTGTTCCAGTTACCCAAGAAAATTTACACTGCGAGGATGCCGAGGGTGCAAGTATTTGCTCAGCTTTTAATAATTTTTTTCAAAGTTTTTTTATTACACCATCATCAAGTAGCCAAACTCAGCCTTGTCACGCATCTGACTACTCCAGTACGGAATCTTTATCCCGCATACATATTACTCGAGAAATAGTTCTTAAATTCCTAAAATCACTTGATAAATCTAAGGGACCTGGAAACGATGGTATTCCCCCTATTGTATTGATTTCATGTGCAGATAGCTTGTCATTGCCTATTACAATTTTGTTTTGTCGTTCTCTCGATGAATGTATTTTCCCCGATTTATGGAAAAAAGCAAATATAATTTCCATACATAAAAAAGGACCAAAAACCTGAATTGAAAATTACCATCCGATTTCAATTTTGAACACTATCAGTAAGCTTTTTGAAAAAATCGTTTACAGCTTCATCTATCCCATTATAATCCGTGGTATTCCTGATACACAGCATGGCTTCATAAAAAGACGGCCTGCGGTATCAAATTTGTCTCTGTCCTCCTACATATGGAGAATGGGGGTTAGGTGGACGTGGTCTACACTGATTTCGAAAAAGCTTTCGATCGTTTAGACCACGACCTCTTGATCCACAAGCTCTATTTGCTTGGAATTCAAGAGGACTTACTCCGCTGGGTGTGCTCCTACCTTTCCAATCGCTCTCAAGCTGTAGTGCTGGGCGGATACAGATCCGACTATGTAACTGTTCCCTCGGGTGTCCATCAGGGATCGCACCTTGGCCCGCTATTCTACAATGCGTACATCTTTGACATTGCCAGCTGTTTTTCTTATTCTAACCACCTATGTCATTGTAGAAGCGTGCTCTTCGCGACCCCTGTCAGCCCTTTTCAGGGCTGCAATTTTACACAGCTGCGCACCCATGCAAACGAGGGTTAGGGCGTCCCCCCAAGGTGACGCAGACCAGCTCGTCCCCGTTGGTGTTGAATGCAGCGCGTAAAGCGGCGATAGGGACCACCACCCGTCACGCACCGCCCGACACGGCGGAAGGTGGAGGACGGAGTGCAGAGTTGCCACGTTGAATGTTAGAGGGGGCATGAGAGATAAGACGAATGAGTTGATCGAAATAATGAAAGAAAGAGAATTAGATGTCGTGTGTATGTCGGAGACCAAACGGAAAGGCAGTGGTACTGAAGAGCTCCCTGGCGGGACGTTAGCTATATGGTCCGGAGTCCCGGAAAGCAAGAACGCCTGCCAGGGAGTGGGGGTGCTGTTGTCGTCCCGGTTGGTCGATCTTATGACTGAATATAAGGTTGTGAACTCAAGACTTCTCTGGGTTCGCTTTAAACTGGGACTGACGAAGTTATTCCTTTTGGCTGTTTATGCGCCGGTAGCTTCGTCGTCCAGAGCTGAGCTGGAGGAGTTTTGGGAGAATGTAAGAGAAGTTCTAGATTTGGTTAAGGGAAACGAAAGAACTGTTGTATGTGGTGATTTGAATGGATGGGTAGGTATCGCTCGACCAGGATACGAGTCGGTGCTTGGAAAGTTTGGTGATAAAAGGGGTAATGATGCTGGCAAGCTTATACTGGCTGTATGCAAGGAAAAGGGTCTTCCTGTGACAAACACTACGTTTAATCACAGGAAAGTCCATATGTACACTAGAGAAAGAAAGAATGAGAGAAGTATGATTGATTTGTTCCTGGTGGATGACCGACTGCGAAAACAGGTGATGGATACACGAGTGGGCAGGGGTGCTGACCTGCGAACGGATCACTATCTAGTAATTACTAGATTTAGGGGTTTGTTCGTGGGTTGGCGCTACCGGACGGCAGTAACAGAACCACAGTCGATCTGTCGCATCCGAAGCTGGAAGCTTCAGGAAGCGGATACTAGGGACAAATATCACACGAGGGTAGCCGAAAAGCTTGACACCATCGATGGCAGAAAAGAATGTGTGGAAAGAACATGGCAGAACCTTAGAGATGGAATGGTAAGTGCAGCGGAAGAAGTATGTGGAACGACAAAAAGAGGTAGTAGTAAAAGAAGAGATGCATGGTGGAATGATGAAGTGAGAGAAGCTGTAAAGAAGAAGAAAAAAGCATGGTTAGACTACTTGACTACACGATTGAACGTCTAGTGGTCCAGGGAAGAGTAGAGGGCACTAGAGCGCGTGGCAGATCGCCTATGAGATGGACAGACCAGGTGAGGGCTGCGGTGGATGTCCCGTTGCATGAGTGCACAAGAAAGGCAGCTGTTAGGGAGGAGTGCAGTGTAGAGAGCGTGCCACAACACCCAAGTGACGACCACGACCGCTCTGTCAAGAGCGTATCGACTGAGAAGAAGAAAGAAGAAGACTACTTGGCCTCTAGTAACGATAGGCATATGAGAGAGAAGATGAAAGAAAGATATAAGCTGCAGAAAGTTCATGCGAAAACATTGATTGAGGAAGTACGTGAAAGGTGTAGAATAGAAGCGGACGAAAGGTTGTCGCACAACTTTAAGGAAAACTCCAAACTCTTCTGGAAAGAGGTTGAAGGGTCTCGGAGTGGTGCGACAGCCTTAAGAATGAACAAAAGTAAAAGTGCTTTCGAAAACCAATGACGTCCTCTCAGAAAAATCGGACGTCATGCAGCGATGGAGCGAATTTTATAGAGAAATGTATGCGTGTCATGATCTTAGTGAAGGATCCGGGGGTGACGCCGTGACAGGCACGGCAGACACGGACCTCCATGACACTGAGGTCATCAGCATGAAAGAGATTGAACGTGCGATTCAAAGTTTGAAATGTGGTAAGGCTGTGGGACTAGACAGAGTTACTGCTGAAATGGTCAAGTACGGTGGGCCTCGCGTATGGGACAGCTTTCAGCTGCTGTGCAATTTGTGCTGGCGGACGGGAGGTGTCCTGAATGGTTGGCGATCCGCGGTCACTGTGCCTATATATAAAGGTAAAGGTTCACATTTTGACTGCGGGTGCTATCGGGCGATCAATTTGACCAGTTTAGCAAGTAAAGTTTACTCGAAGGTTTTGACACGTAGGATGCAAGAGAAATCATAAAGATTCTTATGGGAGGCACAATACGGATTTAGACCTGGAAGAGGATGCACAGATCAAATGTTTTCTCTCCGCATGATCACGGGAAAGCTTCTGACTGTTAACCAGAGGATTTTCTGTGCTTTTGTGGATCTGGAGAAAGCATTTGATAAGGTTATAAGGAAGAAAATGTGGGAACTGTTGCCGGAATATGGTGTGGATGGTCGATTGTTAAGGGCTGTGCAGTCACTTTACTATGTCTGTAAAGCCTGTACAATATCATCTCAACCTGTGTTTGTGTTAGTGAAGTGCAAAAGTGAGTACAATTTAGTTATTTTCATAGGAGCTGTGACAATTTCTTACTTATTTGAATATTGATTTCAAGGAAGATTTTAACTTGTGCATGTTAGATTAAGGACTCAGACTAGTTTTATAAAAACAGGGAACCTATGCCCGATTTCTGTAAGAGTGTATTTTTGTTTATAAATACTTATAAATTTTCACTGGTTTTGAGACTTGAAAATTTCGCAAGCTTTGTTTAGTAAAGAAACTTGTTAAGTTTTACGTTTCAATTTAGGTTTTTCTGTTACAAAGTTGATATTGTGTTACATTGAGATTGATACATTTAACTTTACACAAATAATTGAATTATACTATTTTTAATATTAGTTAATAATTCTATACGATTGTTGTTTACGATGGAAGGACAAATTAATATATTAAAAGACCTTCAACAAGTAATACAAAAGGGCTTTACTAATTTTAAAATGTGTCCAAAGAATAGACTTACTGTTGAATATATACAAACAAGGCTTGAATTATTAGAAAATGATTGGTCTTCGTTCAAAAATACTAAATCTCAACTTTATGGTCAGTTTAAGTTAGAAGATATAGGTCAAAATATTGTCGATATGTATGACGCGACAGAAGAAACTTACATACTATGTAAATCTTTAATGAAATCAACTTTAAACAAGATAAGTATTAGAGAACCGTTACCACAAGATAGTGGATGTAGTAATAGTTCTTCTAAGCAATCCAGTTCATTTATATATAAAGTTGCCCAAGATAACAATTCCTACTTTTTAGGCAAGTACAGTGAATGGACAACTTTCCACGACCTTTTTGTTTCACTAGTACACAACAACGCATCCTTAGATAATGTGCAAAAAATTCACTATCTTAAAAGTCACCTAACCGGTGAAGCTGAGCAGTTAATTAGGCATACACCAATCAACGAGATGCCAATTATAACGAATGTTGGTCTCAACTAGAAGATCGCTATGCAAATAAAAAGTACCTAACCAGTTGTATTTTAAAACGATTGTTCGGCCAGAAACGCTTACATGTGGAATCGGCTAACTCATTAAAGGAGCTGTTAGATGCCACACGTGACTGTTTAAATGCACTAAAAAATTTGAAAATCGATGTGAGCACATGGAACGTTATTGTCATCCATATAGTGACGTTCAAGTTAGATAATGAAACGCGAAAGCAGTGGGAGTTAAGCATTTCTAATGACTCCAGCAACGAGTTGCCCATCTTTTAATCAGTTTAGGACATTTATTGAAAGTCGTTTCCGCGCATTAGAATATATAGAGCCAAGGAAGATTGTGGCTCACCAGATCAATAATAGTTCTCATGTTCATAGTTCAAAAGTATTGCTGGCCACAAAGTCGCCGAATATCCGTTGCGATTTCTGCTCGGAACTTCATAAGCTCTGTTTCTGTAAGCAATTTGCAAAAGAGTCCATAGAAAACAGACGAGAGTTTGTAGCAAAAAATAAACTATGTTTTAATTGTTTAGGTGGTAATCATATAGTTTACAACTGTAAAAAGCAGACTGTCTGTAGAATTTGCAAATACGCCACCATTCCTTGCTGCACCATAATAAAGAACCTTATGCAGAAAATAAGGGTCGAGATTCCAGAGCAAAGTCTGCTATCGATAACACTAGTTCCCCAACAAGTGATAATCAAATTATTGCATCTTCGGGAGAAGTTTTAAAACCCAGACAGGTTTTATTAGCCACTGCATTGATAAAAGCTGAGTCCAAGACTGGTGAATTTCAAACAGTTCGAGCCTTACTTGATCAAGGATCACAGGCTTGTTTTATAACAGAGTCCACTGTCCAATTTCTCAGGCTTAAGAAAATTCCAGTCCGAGGTCATGTTTCAGGTTTAGGAGACAAGTCAACCATTGCTAATTACATGGTAAATCTGATTATAAAGTCCACGGTTGATCTTGATTTTCAACTTCAAATTAATGCTTACGTTTTGAGTAAGATTACATCGTACTTGCCTGAGAGAACTGTGAATACCAGTTCAATGGAATGGATTGATCTCAACGGTCTGTGTCTAGCAGATCCCTCTTTCAAAACACCCAATAAAATTGACGTTCTGTTGGGCGCAGATGTTTACTGCTGCATTGTTAAGGAAGGTATAGTAAAGAGTCCGTCTGGTTCTTTAATAGCGCAGAACACCACTTTAGGGTGGATCCTTTCCGGTGTAGTCAGTTCAAGTAATGAAAGTGTAAAACACCACAGTAGAAATATAAGTGTACACTGTACACAGTTCAGTGAAGACAATATTCTAAAGAAATTCTGGGAGATAGAAGAACAAGTTAGTACAAAAATATACTTAATCCAGAAGAGCAAAAATGTGAAGAATTTTATATTAAAACTACTAAGAGGGATGATACAGGCAGATACATAGTGCGTTTACCATTTCGAGACGAAGATCCTGCATGCAAAGGCGGAAGTTCACATGACATAGATGAAACAAGATTCAAATCATTAGAAAGAAGATTAAATAAGGACACAAATTTAAAACAAAAGTATATAGAAGTAATTAATTAATACTTGAAGTTAGGACACATGAGACCTGTAAAAAAAGAGGATGATAAGAAAGATGAAGCAGTTTACTTACTACACCACGCGGTGATAAGAAACGACAAGACCACCACGAAGGTTCGTGTAGTTTTCAACGCCTCTGAGAAAAACAAAAAGGGAGTTTCTCACAATGATACTTTAATGGTTGGATCAACGCTGCAAGCAGACTTGAGACACACAGTTCTTAAATGGAGAGTACACGCTATTAGTATTGTGGCGGACATAATTAAAATGTACCTCCAAGTCAGAATAGCAGATGAGGATGCTATATTCCAGAGGATACTTTGGCGAGAAAGCCCCGAAAAACCACTTAGGGATTATGAATTGGTAACAGTAACCTTTGGAACAGCTTCTGCACCATATCAGGCAGTTAGATCACTCCATCAGGTTGTATATGATGAAGGAGATAAGTACCCACTTGCGGCTGATAGAGTTTTAAATTCTTTTTATATGGATGATTTGATGATGGGAAGTAATAATGTCGAAGAGGGAGTAGAAATGTGTAAGAAAATTATAGATTTATTAGGAAAAGGAGGATTTGCCTTGCATAAATGGAATAGTAACAATCAGCAACTATTAGATAGAATAAGTTCAATATATACAAGTGAAGTAGTACAGAAAACAGGTCAAATAAACATAAAAAATGAGAAGACACTGCATGGTGGTCCTCAGTTAATGGCAAATTATTTAAGGTCAGTCTGTTGGATAATAGGTGCTAGATCTCTAGTTCAACAATATGTTCGCAAATGTGTGACTTGTGCAAAACAGAGAGCTACTATCAAAAATCAACTGATGGGTGATCTTCCATCGGTTCGATGTACACCAGCAAGACCATTTTTATATAGTGGAGTGGATTATGCTGGACCTGTAAGTATAAGAGCGACCAAAGGACGTGGGTATCGTTCTTATAAGGGCTACATATGCCATTTCGTTTGCATCTCCACTCGCGCTGTTCACTTAGAGGTCGTAAGTGACATGAGTACACAAGCATTTTAGCTGCTTTTCGACGATTTGTGTCGCGAAGAGGTCACTGCGCTAAATTGTGGAGCGACAACGCCTCCAATTTTGTAGATACCTTCAAAGAATTGCAACAGTTGGCATCTATTGAGCCAGCCATAGCAGAATATCTGGAAGCAAACAACACCCAGTGGCATTTTATTCCGCCGCAGGCTCCTAATTTCGGTGGTCTTTGGGAAGCGGGTACTAAATCCACCAAGTTTCACATTAAAAGAGTTATCGGTGACTCTGCGCTCACGTACGAAGAAATGACCACATTACTCAATCAAGTGCAAGCTTGTCCAAATTCGAGGCCAATAAGCGTCATCAACTTTACTGATCCTGGTGAGCCCCTGCCTTTAACTCCTGGACATTTCTTAATAGGAGAACCGATAGTTAATGTACCAGATAAGGACTACAAAGGTTCAAGCGTAGGCTATTTAACTAGGTGGCAATTTGTGCACAGGATGCTACAGTCTTTTTGGAAACGATGGTATCAGGAGTATTTGTCAAAGCTCATGAATAGGTACAAATGGGCGTCACAAGTTCCGGAACCTAACATTGGGGACATTGTTTTGATTAAAGAAGATGATTTGCCGCCAAGTCGTTGGTTATTGGGTCGAGTTATAGAGAAACACCCCGGTGATGATAACGTTACCCGTGTGGTCACATTGCGCACGAAAAC